TCTCGACCCCGCGGGCTCAGGCAATCCACCCACCTCAGCCTCCCAAAGGTGCGGGATTACAGGCTGAGCCACCGAGCCCGGCTCTGGCTAATTTTTAAAAAAATGTATTGTAGAGACGTGGTTTCACCATGTTGCCCAGGCTGTCTCAAACCAGTGGGTTCAGATAATCCTCTTGCCTTTGACCCTCAAAGTGCTGGGATTACAGGTGTGAGCTACCACACCCTGATGATTTTGCTTTCTAATTCCTCACCAGCGCTTACTTGGCCATATTACTACATTCCACATCTAGTTCTTGCTGATGATCCCTAAAAATGTATCAACAGCCCAGACTCCTCCTGTGGACTTCCAGATCCCCCACATCTGCTGCCTCCAACATCTCTACTTGAAGTTTATCAGGCAACTCAAACTCCTCACATCTTATGTTGAGCCCTAATGTTACCCCACAACCTACTCCTCCTATAGCCTCCCCCTTCTCAGAACATGGCAGCTCTATTCTTCTAGTTACTCTGACCTTGAAGTCAACTTTGACACTGTCCTTTGTTTCATCTTCATACCTGGCCCATTAACAAATCTTATTGGTTCCACCATCAAAATATACCTAGAATCTGATCACTTCTCCCACTTCTGCTGCCACTACCCTGGTTCTGAGTCACCCTCCTGGTCCTCCAGCTTTTGCCCTCACCCCTCTATTCTCTACCCAGAAGCCAGAGCAACTTTCAAAAAATACTGATTAGATCACATACTCCACCCACTTAAAACCCTTCTCCAAACATGCACATCATGTTCAGAACAATCTCACCTATTTCTACTTAAGACCTAGAGACTCTTACACACTCAGATCCCTGCAACACCCATTGGGCCTCACCCCACCCTACCGCCCATGGATAGTCTTTCTGTATGGAGCTTGCTCCTGCCTCAGAGTCTCTAGCCTTGCCGGCCCCTTCCCCTGAAATGCACTTTCCACCTTTCCTTGTTCAAATGCCTTGAGCAGTTCATGGCTGAGCCTTGACACAGAGAAGGTGCTCAACAAATCCCGGTCAGAAGAGTGAGTCAGTTAACACTTTTAGTCCCCACAACAGCTCTGTGAAGTAGAGATTAGGACTGGCCTTTTCCAGATGAGCAGATGAGGCTCAGAGAGGAGCAGTGACTTGCTTATAATCACTTGGGAGCAAGTGGAGGAGCTGGAGCAGGAAGCCAGCTCTGATTCCCTCTTCCCATCTCCATGCTCCCCTGGCAGTGCCCAGACAAGGAGAAACCCAGTATCTTCCAAGCTTGGAAGCTCTGTGAGAGCAGAACTTTGTCTCCTTGGTGGTATCCAGGATGTCCAGGGATGGCTTCCAGAGAGCTCACCCCTCAGCAACCGCCCTCCTCTGAACTCTGCTTACATCCCCTCCATCAGTCGTAGGAACCTGCCTGTCACCCAGTCAGTCCTACGCCCCCTTTGCCTGCCTGCCCCTTACCTGAGTACTGCTGCAGCAGCCAGACTTTGAGCTCAATGAAGCTGTGGGCGAAGTGGCAGCTGTCCTCCCGCAGGCATCCATAGCGCACCTCGTGACGGCACACGTCGAACTGAAAGTGCTCCTGGAACTGGCGGATCTTGGAGTACTTGAGGGAGGTGGAGCGGATGATGTGCACCAGGCATCTGGTGAGCAGAAGGGGGAAGGGGCACGATGCAGGCTGTAGCCCCGTGGACCCTCCACCTCCTGGGAGGGTTACCTTCCCAGTGCCAGTCCTCTCCCTGGATCCCTGCCCCCTCACATATGAACTGACTCCAAAGCATGGATGGCACAGGAGGGCAGAGATGGGGGTCCTATGCCCAGGCAGCCCGGGGTTTGAGTCCTAGCTCTGCTTTACCACTGCTTTACCACTCTCCTCAGGATTCTATTGGGGTCAACTCAAAGATGGAGCTGCCAATAAGCAGAGGGCACCAGACTCCCTGCTCCCACTACAAGGCTGGGAGAAGGGGGTGCCTGTGGGTGGGAGAAGGGGCCTTTCCCTTAGGTTTCCGGCCTGATGCTCCCGAGCTGGTCCTACACCCAGAAGAACACTAATCAAACACTTCCTCTGGGCAGGAATCTTAATTATCCTCTCTGCAACCCCAGGAGATCAGAACGTCATCAACTTTACAGACAAGAAAACCCAGGCTTAGAGGAGCTGGAGGACAAAAGACAGGTATTGACCAAGTCAAGAACTGAACCCTGGTCTGTCTGACTCCAGAGCCTGGGCTCCATCATCCACCTGGGGCAGAGCCAAGGGCAGGAAGAGAGAGCACAGCTGGATGGTGCAGACCTGGCCCAGCACCTCCCCTCACTGTTGGACATGGACATCATGACAGCAGAGGGTGCCTGGCAGGAGTGAGAGATGGGGTCCCCAGTTGCCTGCTGAGTAAGCTACTTTCAGGCTTACTTCTGTATAACAGGGACAGTAACTCCTCCCTCACAGGACTGCTGAGATAATGAAAACATCTAAGATAATGCTTGGAATAGAGTACATGCTCAGTAAACATGGTTCCCATTCTTTCCAAGTAGATGCTGGGTCTGAGTACAAAATTCTGCCCTTTGACACTCTAGGTCTACTCATTGGCCTCAGCCTTTCCCCAGCCACCTGAGCTGCTCCAAGGGGACTCTCTACCCAACCCAACCCCCAGCCCCGGCTGCAGATGCTACTCACTTATTGTTGTAGAAGCTGTGTTTGGCAGCCAGGTTGGAGCAGACAGAGGGAGAGTCCTTGGTGCCTTTGCTGATAATCCGGGGTTTACTGTCAAAGCAGATCTGCCCAGGGAGGGAATGGGCTGGGACCCTGCTCGGCCTTCTGGGAAGGGGGTGGGCTGGGACCCCTCATGGCCACCTGGGGAAGGCTGGATCCCTGCAAGCCCTGTCCTAAGCTGAGGGAGTGAGGAAGGGAATTCCAGGGTCTGTGGCCCCCATCTCTCCGGCTCTAGCTCAGAGATGACCTGGGCCTTGGCTCCCTTTCTCCCCTTCTCCCTCTCTGATTCCACCACTCCAAATGCCTAGGCCAGGGGGTTATTTCATGTTTCTGAGCTTCAGTTTTCCCAACTGTAAACTAGGGATAACTACACCTGCTTTGTCCCACAGGTTCACTGCGAAGGTCAAAAAAAGATAAAAAGGAGCTGCAGGTGCTTTGTAAACTACAGGCTTCAGCTTAGCTGTGAACTGCAAATTCTGGGCCAACTGCTGTCTGCCCACGCAGCTCAGCTATGAACTGTAAATATCAGGCCAACAAGTCTGCCTACTCTAAGAGTTGGGGAAAGGCCTGGCTATGCCAAGGGCTAGTCCGAGCTGCACCAAACCCTGCCAGCAACAGACATGGACATGACACTGCCCCTGCCCTCAACATGCTAAGACTGGGTGGGGAGACAGAAGCCAAGTTCACTTCAGAGGTCCAGCAGGGCCTTCAGTGACAGCTCAGGAGGGAATAAACAACAGTTCAGTGGAGCTGCTGGGATCACAGGTGAGTCTGAGAGGGTCTGAGACAAAGAAACACAGGAGAGCACTCTAGGCAGAAAGCACCAGGACACAGGCAGGGAAGTGCAATGGGCAGTGAAGCCAGCACAGCTGATGGGAGAGGATGTGGAGGGGGGTGTGAAATGCAGGGTTATGGATGCCTTGCTTGGGATGGCTGTGCAGTGCCAAACACTCCATACCCACAAGGGATACAGGGGCAGCCCTGGACAGGTGCCCAGTCTGCCTGTGTCACAGGGGCCTGGCCGTGAGGACCACCAGTGGCAGCTCACGCTGGGAGGTAGGCATGACTCTAGGGACAGACTGTCTGGGCTTGAAGCTCAGCTTTGCACTGCACTGGCCATGTGACCTAGCAAAACTCCTCATCCCCCTAAACCTCAGCTTCATCATCTGTACAATGGGGACAATATATGCCTGCCAGTGCTGCCATGAGGATGGGAATGAGAATCTAAACCCCTTCATGCCAAGCCTGGCCTATGACCAGCTGTCAGGAGATAATGGGTGTGAGCGTTATGATTTCTCTTTCTGGCCTCAGTTTCCACTTAACCTTCTGACAGTCCGAGGACCTACTTGTTCTAAGGCCAAGCCTCCAAAGCCCATAGGTTCCAGGACTGACCACCATGATGGCCCAGGCCAAGGAGAACCCCCAGCCCTGTCTCTGCCTTGGATTATGGAGGTGGCAAGTGAGTGGGGCAGGCAGGCGGACGGGTACCTCACAGAGAAAGGTGAAGATGCCCTGGTGCTCCTTAAGGAGCTTGGCGATGGTGAGGCTGCCACGCTTGACGCCCCCCAGCGGGTCAAAGAGTAGGTCGCGGTTGAGGGTGCCCTTCCGCTCCTCGGTCCACACGTCGATCTCCTCCTGATGGTAGGCGAAGGTGCAGTTATCCCCGTACTTACAGTCCTGCTTGTTAATCATGTCTGTAAAGAGGCAACAGGACACACGTTCCGCCAGGCGGGGACGGCAGCCCGCAGCACCCTCACGACCCCTGCTGTGGCCAGTGGGGCTCAGACTCTGTGAGCCTGTAGGCCTTGGCTCTGCCCAGACATCGCTGAGGTGGTGGCCACAACCCTCCCCACTAGGTCTTGGCAGAGCTGGAAAGCCCTTCCCAAACACCAGGCTCCCTCTCCTGTGCTCTGGTGCCTGCATCACCTGCCCCACAGAGTTGCCTTTTGTGGGCCAAGCAAGAACAAAGGCATGAAAAGGGCTTTGTAGAAGTATACAAGCTTGCGACGGCCATGAGCGTGCCACTGTACTCCAGCCTGGGGCTACAGAGTGAGACTCCAACTCAAAAAAAAAAAAAAAAAAAGGATAAAAGCCTCTAAGTAAATATGAGGGATTTAAAACAATTATTCCCCAGGAAAATAATACTTCATGGATAAGATCAAGCACTTTGGAGTCAGACCGACTTGGGTTGGGATTCCCCATTACTCCCTGAGTCTATTCCCATTAGTCCCTGAGTCTTGGGTGTCTTTTCTATGAATGGAGGATACTGGGTTATTGGGATCAAGTGAGATAATAAATAAAACTCAGCCAGGCATAGAGGCTCATGCCTATAATCCCAGCACTTTGGGAAGTGGAGGCAAGAGGATTACCTGAGTTCAGGGATTCAAGACCAGCCTGGGCAACATGGTGAGGCCTCATCTCTACAATAAGTCATAAAATTAGCTGGGCATGATGGTGTACACCTGTAGTTACAGCTACATGGAAAGCTGAGACAGAAGGATCATCTAAGCCTAGCAGGTCAAGGCTGCGGTAGCCATGAGTGTGCCACTGTACTCTAGCCTGAGCGACAGAGTGAGACTCCTACTCGAATAAATCAATAAAACTTTTGGGGGCCAGGAAGTTTGAAAAAAGGAAGGCAGTCTCAGAACCTGGAGATCTGCCATTTCCTAGAGATGGGACCAGTTTTTCTTTCTTTTCCTCCCACTCTTTTTTCTCAAGTTGGGGTCTCTGTCGCCCAGGCTGGAGTGCAGTGGCACAATCACAATGATCATGGCTCATGGCAGCCTCAACCTCCTGGGCTCAAGTGATCCTTCCACTTCAGCATCCCAAGTAGCTGGGACTACAGGTGTGTGCCACCACATCCAGCCAATTTTTTGATTTTTTAAATATAGAGATGAGGTTTTGCTACATTGCTCAAGCTGGTCCCGAACTCCTAGGCTCAGGCCATCCTCCTACCTCGGTCTCCCAAAGTGCTGGGAACTATAGGAATAAGCCATAGCATCCGGCCTCCTCCCACTCTTTCTAAGTCTGTCCGGTTGCATCGCCTGCCAGGCTCTGGGCACACAAGGACAAATGGGCCACAGGCCAGGAGGAGTGGGCCTGATGGCGGGATGAGGGTAGGGATGGAGGCAGGGGCAACCACGGCATCCCACTCCCTTCCTACCACTGCCCTCTCTAGTGATCCTGACCATTCAGTTTCTCTAGGAAGAACTGCGAAGACGGTGTCTGGCAGGCAGCAGGTCCCAAGAATCTGACCCTTTCCTTTCTTGCCTTGGATGGGATTTCCAAGATCCAGGTGATACTTGAAGGACGAGCAGAGGATGCCCAGGCTCAAAGGGCACAGTAAGTACAATGAAATCAAGGAGGGTCAGTGTATTTGGGGAAGGGTTAGGGAAGAGGGGTGAGGAGGCGTGTATAGAATCTGGACTTCATTTCACTGGTCCTGGACAGTGGCTGATAGTGGTCTGTACGTTCAAGAATGACCTGTCCTTAGACCAGCCTCACTGCTGGGAGGACAGTGAACAGATCTAGAAAGCCTGGGTGGGTCAGGCTCCGTGGCTCAGCCTGTAATCCCAGCACTTTGGGAGGCCAAGGCGAGTGGATTGCCTGAGCCTGCGGGTTCAAGACCTGCCTGGGCAACTTGGCAAGACCTTATCTCTACAATAAATCAAAAACTAGGTAGGCGTGGTAGTACACACCTGTAGTTCTGGCTACTTGAAAGGCTGAGGCGGAAGGCTCGCCGGAGCCCCAGCAGGTTGAGACCGCGGTGGCCAGGAGCAGGCCACTGCACTCCAGTCTGGGCGACAGAGTGAGACTCCAACTCAAAAAAAAAAAGAAAGTCTAGACAGGCTGTTGCCAGGGGTTGGATCGGTGGACAAAGACAGAGCCGGGGCAGACTTTCAAAGCATCCGCTTCCCCAGCCAGAGTTGTTTCAAGGAGGAGTGATGGCAAGCAAGAAGGGTTACACCATAAAGGGCTCAACTATTCATGTGTTGCTACACAGGCCGGACCAAAACTCTTAGTGAGGGAACAGAAGAAAGCAAGTAAGGTACACGAAACACATCCATTAAATACCACTCAAACTGGCATGAGGCAGAAGTAAGGACAATGATCACAAGAGAATGATTACAAAGAACTAGCATGTCAAATCCTTATGTGCCAGGCCTAAATGCTGCACATGGAATCACATCTTCCCAGCAGCCCCATGGGACCCTTCAGTGGTAATAGCTCTCCATGAACTGTCTGACCCTCTCACTCTTGAGCACAGGCTGCCAGAGGGGCTCCAGCTGCAGCAGAACATTCCGCATGTTTCCCACCTGCCTATGGAGCTGGCCAGACAGGAAATGCTCATTTTGAAGTGGAGCCCAAGCTTCCTCATCTCCTGTGTGGCTATGAGCACTACACTTGCTCTGTCTACCTGTGATGAGGAGCAAGGTGGCACTGGGTGGTGGAGGGGCTAGAATCTGGGCTTCATCTCACTGGCCATGGGCAACCCTACCTGTGCTGCCCGCCTTGCTGCAGCCTCTTCACCCACCTTTACACAGGTAGTAGGAGCCCACAAAGCTGGTTTTGGTGGGCCGGGGCCGGATTCGCTTCCAGGTCTGGTCCTCGGAGCTCCGGAGCCGGCCGAGCAGGATATCCCGCTTGCACTTGTGCTCAAGGCCCTCCCGGTAGGTATAATCACCAGCCCTGGGGCCTGGGGCAGGGTAGACAAGAACAGTGATTCCTGAAGCAGAACTGAAGGGTGAGGGCTGGCAGGCCCAGGCAGTAGGTAGGAATCAATGCCTCCATCCCCAAAACCTACCTCCCTTCTTGGAGGCCTCCCACCAATTCCTACTATACTCTTCCCTGCTATGTGCTCCCCAGAGACAGTGAGTCAGTGTTTGGGGAGGCCCCTTCAATGAGCCCATTCTCAGCACCCATTCCCTTCCTACCACTGCCCTGACTCTCTAGTGACCCTGACCATTTCATTTTCTCTAAAAGAACTGTGAAGACAGTGCCTGGCAGGCAGCAGGCCCCAAGAGTCTGACCTTTTTCTTTCCTGCCTTGGATGGGCTTCTGTTTTCTCTTACTATCTCCAACTGATATACTAGGATTCTTTTGTCCTAGAATCCCATGCTCCTGAGATTCCCAGCTCTCTGGGGCAGAGGGATGGAGTGCACAGGTGCAACGTTACCTGTCTTGGGGTAGCAGAGCTGGCAGGCCTGCTTGAACTCGTGAGTGGCAGCCAAGGGGTTCTTGATGAGCAAGGCGGTGTTGGGCATGGAGGGCTCTGGCTGTGACAGGAGGAGGGTGGCCATTGTGGGTACTGGATGGTGATTGGGACTACTAGGACCAGCCTGGGCACCAGAGGTGGGAGGTGCTCTATGACGCCCTCCCCAATCCGACCCAAGAGCAGAACTGCAGCCCCAGGACCCTCCCTCTTCCTCCACCCTCCCAGCCAGGGAGCTCCTTGTAATGTGTTCAAAGAGCCTAGATTATCAAGACCAGATCAGCCTCAGGAAGCCTCTGGGATAGTGGGGGCACCTGGGTGACCATGATCTTGGCTCAGAAGCTTTCCTTGAATGAAAGTTCAATGTGAAAGCAGAGAAATGGGAGTTGCCCTAATTGCAGTCTATGTACTTGCCTTCCCCTAAGCTCCCAAGCCATCAGCAGATGGGGAAAAGGCAGGATTCAGAGAAGTTAGGTGACTTCCCCAGGGCTACACAGTTAGTGTCTAGGCTGAGGTCAGAGTGTAGCATTCTCATCATGTGCACTTTTTTTTTTTGAGTTGGAGTCTCACTCTTGTCACCCAGGCTGGAGTGCAGTGGCCACTGTACTCACGGCCACTGCAGCCTCAACCTGCTGGACTTAGGTGATCCTCCCGCCTTAGCCTTCCAATTAGCTGGAACTACAGACGCATGCCACCATGCCCAGCTAGTTTTTTTTTGTGTGTGATTATTGTAGAGACGAGGTCTTACCAAGTTGCCTAGTCTGATCTCGAACCTCTAGTCTCAGGCAATCCTCTCGCCTTGGCCTCCCAAAGTGCTGGGATTACAGGCTGAGCCATTGTGCCCGGTCATCATATGCACTTTTAAACTCAGGACCTGGCTGAGTCTGGAGAATAGGGATATTCCTAATCCTGGGGAAGCCACTTAACCCTCTGAGCCTTGATGTTCTCTTCCATCAGACAAGGGCAGGTGGTGCCCTCAATGTGCCCTCCCAGCCTGTGGGCTCAGTAAAGAAGAGATAGGAAGAGGTCACCTCTGGTCTACCCACTCCGGGGGTGTTCTTCCTTGGGGGATGCAGCATCTTACCCCATGCAGAGGGTTCATCCCCCACTCTGGAACCCACACCACTTCCCCCACCTCCAGGAGGGAATAAGGGGCCTGGTCACAGATCCCCACTCAAGTTACTCACCGAAGGGGCTGGTTTCTGAGTACCACTTGGAGGACGGTGGTCCTGCGAGTTGGTTTCCTCTAGGCAGGAAAATGACACAAGGGGTCAGCTGCCCTGGCTCTGAGGGCCTGAGGGGGCTTCCTAGGACTTCTCTTTATGTATTTCTTTCTTTTTTGAGTTGGAGTCTTACTCTGTCACCCAGGCTGGAGTGCAATGGCATACTCATGACCACTCCAGCATTGACCTGCTAGGCTCTGGCGATCCTTCCACCTCAGCCTTCCAAGTAGCCAGAACTACAGGCACACGCTACCATGCCCAGCTAATTTTTTAAAAAATTTACTGTAGAGACGAGGTCTCACCAAGTTGTCCAGGCTGGTTTCGAACCTGCGGGCTCAGGCAATCCTCTCGCCTTGGCCTCTCAAAGTGCTGGGATTAGAGGCTTGAGCTGCCACACCTGGCCCTCTTTGTGTATTTCTCACTCAGAGAAGCCCCTGGGCCACAAATCTTCTTCTACTCATGCTAATCCCCAGCCTCTGTCCCCTCTTCTCCATCCCCGTGGCCCCTGCCCTGGGGCAAAGAGGTCAGTCTGAGCATGTTCACCCCTTGCTTAAATTGGCTGAGGGTCCTTGCTATACCTAGGAGAAAACTCAAGCTCCTAGCTTGGTTCACAGGTGCTATGAGACCAACATCCCCACCCAAGTTCCCCCACAGCCAAGTTCTCTGATCTTCAGTCAGCCTGGCATTGTGCCAGGCTTGTGCCTCTGCTCCCTCTGCCTGCCAAATGAACTTCTTCAAGACCCCACTCAGCCATCACCTCCTCCAGAAAGTCTCCTTTGCCCTTGAGGCTGAGTGAAGCCCCTCTGTGCCTTGATAACCTCATGAATCCCTCTCAGTCCCCTCAGTTGCTAGTGCCCTGGGCTATGTCTGACCACTGAAATCCAGTCCCACCAGGGCCCAGGCAGGTCTCCTTCCTCTCTGGGTCCCTGGCACCTAGCCCAGAGTAGTGCTGAAGGAGCCCATGGCCTTACACCCTGCTCCCAGGCTCGGGATCATCCCATGGGTTCCTACCAGCCTGGTAACCCGGGTCCTGAAAGGCTGGCCAGATAGCACTTGTCTGGGAGACTGGAGGCCTATACTCTCACAGCTCTGCTGTTTGATCTAGCCACCCCTCAGGTCTCAGCCCCACACTGAGATACAGCAACACAGATAGGACTCTGGATTGCTAAGGAGTGATTAAAGATGCATATCTGTAATCCCAATTCTACTCTCCAGAAACTAGAGATGCAGCAGCACTTTGCAACCTGTCAAGTGGGTGGGGGCTGAACATGCCCACTCAGGCCTTACCCATGAAGGAGTCAGGCTTGTCCAAGGAGCCTCGGGTTGACCCGAAGCTGTCAAGGGCATCCAGCCGAGTCTCGGAGTATGGCAGCAGGTCCAGGGGGTCCAGTGTGGGGCCCGGGGGATCAAGGGCATCCAGCACAGAGGCGGCTAGCTTCTTGGAGGGGTCCATGACCAGGCCGAAGGAGGCGGGGGGCAGTGGGCTGGAGACGGGGATGGAGCCGCCCACCACAGGTGGCAGCAGTGGGGTCCCACCAGGGAACACAGGTATCAGCTGAGGCAACTCGCTAGGCATGCCGCTGCCGGGCAGGCCACCCTGAACCAGAGACTGCAAGGCAGGTGTGGGGGTGGGGTAAGGCGGAGGTGGGGATCAGAGGAGAATGCAACCACTCAGGACCAGGCAGAATCAGACACTTGGAAAGCAAGTAGGCCTACCCTCAGCAACTCAGCCTCAAGCTTCCCACAAGAGAACTAGGGCTCCTTGCAATCCCTTTTGGGTGTACATTCTATAGCTTCATTTTTATCCAAAGCAAGTCCTTCCTGAGGCCTTAGTTTTCTCAACTGTGACATGGAAACAGAGACCTTCCCTCCACCCCTACTGGAATAATGGGGCCCAGATGGGAGAGAAGATCAGAGGAGCAGAAGAGGGCGGTATAGCTCACCAGTGAGTCCAGGAGGGTGTCCAGCTCTGGACCGAAGACATCCCCATCTGAGAAGTCATCTAGACTCTCGGTGCTGGGGAGAACCCTGCTACTGCTGTCCAGGGGGGCCAGCAGATCCAGAACATGAGGGAACAGGGGCATCGTGGGGGTGGAAGGGAGGAGGGCCGGGGAGTCTTGCAGATCCACGTAGCAGTCTATGAATAGAAGTAGGTCAAGAGCTGAAAGGGGGCACTAGTTGCTGAGACTGGATGAGTTTTCACTGGCCCAGGGATGCACATCCAACACCTTCCCTTCTTCCTCTGGCTCCTGCCATCACCATCACCATCCCCCGCCCCCTGCCACCTCCCCATCCCCCCTGCAGAGGCTCAGTGGTAGTTAAGGAAGACAGCAACCCCGAGCAGGAGAAGGGCCCTCAGTCCTATGATATCACCCCATGGCCCTGGCTCAGTTCCTTAATGTCCACCATCACTACCGCCTTCCTCTCGGATAAATAATGCCCTCTCGCTGGGCTCGGTGGCTCAGCCTGTAATCCTGCACCTTTGGGAGGCTGAGGTGAGTGGATTGCCTGAGCCTGCGGGTTCGAGACCCGCCT